TATAATACATACTGAAAGTTACAGTTCCTAAAATCTAACATTTTTATAATACATACTGAAAGTTGCAGTTCCTAAAATATAACAATTAACTCTAACAGTTTTATAATACATACTGAAAGTTACAGTTCCTAAAATCTAACATTTTTATAATACATACTGAAAGTTGCAGTTCCTAAAATATAACAATTAACTCTAACAGTTTTATAATACATACTGAAAGTTACAGTTCCTAAAATCTAACATTTTTATAATACATACTGAAAGTTGCAGTTCCTAAAACCTAACAATTAACTCTAACAGTTTTATAATACATACTAAAGTTACAGTTCCTAAAATCTAACAATAAACTCTAACAGTTTTATAATACTTACTGAAAGTTACAGTTCCAAAAATCTAACAATAAACTCTAACAGTTTTATAATACATACTGAATGTTACAGTTCCTAAAATCTAGCAATAAACTCTAACAGTTTTATAATACATAGTGAAAATTAATATTCCTAAACTCTAACAGTTTTATAATACATACTGAAAGTTGCAGTTCCTAAAATCTAACAATTTTATAATACATACTGAAAGTTACAGATCCTAAAATTTACCAATAAACTGTAACTGTTTTATAATACATACTGAAAATTACAGTTTCTAAAATCTAACAATAAACTCTAACAGTTTTATAATACATACTGAAAGTTGCAGTTCCTAAAATCTAACAATAACCTCAAGCAGTTTTATAATACATACTGAATGTTACTGTTCCTAAAATCTAACAGTTTTATAATACATACTGAATGTTACAGTTCCTAAAATCTAGCAATTTTATAATACATACTGAAAGTTACAGATCCTAAAATCTAACAATATACTATAAGAGTTTTATAATACGTACTGAAAATTACAGTTCCTAAAATATAACAATTAACTCTAACAGTTTTATAATACATACTGAAAGTTACAGTTCCTAAAATCTAACAATAAACTCTAACAGTTTTATAATACATACTGAAAGTTGCAGTTCCTAAAATCTAGCTATAAACTCTAACAGTTTTATAATACATACTGAAAGTTGCAGTTCCTAAAATCTAACAATAAACTCTAACAGTTTTATAATACATACTGAAAGTTACAGTTCCTGAAATCTAACAATAAACTCTAACAGTTTTATAATACATACTGAATGTTACAGTTCGTAAAATCTAGCAATAAACTCTAACACTTTTATAATACATACTGAAAGTGTCAGTTCCTAAAATCTAATAATAAACTCTAACAGTTTTATAATACATGCTGAAAATTAGAGTTCCTAAACTCTAACTGTTTTATAATACATACTGAAAGTTACTGTTCCTAAAATCTAACAATAAACTCTAACAGTTTTATACTACATACTGAAAGTTACAGTTCCTAAAATCTAACAATAAACTCTAACTGTTTTATAATGCATACTGAAAGTTGCAGTTCCTAAAATCTAACAGTTTTATAATACATACTGAATGTTACAGTTCCTAAAATCTAACAATTTTATAATACATACTGAAAGTTACAGATCCTAAAATCTAACAATAAACTCTAACTGTTTTATAATGCATACTGAAAGTTGCAGTTCCTAAAATCTAACAGTTTTATAATACATACTGAATGTTACAGTTCCTAAAATCTAACAATTTTATAATACATACTGAATG